GTGTGTGTGTGTGTGTGTGTGTAACTGGAGTGTTTCAGATGTGTGTGTGTGTGTGTGTGTGTGAATGGAGTGTTTCAGCAGTATGTGTGCGTGTGTGTGTGTGTGTGACGAGTGTGCAACTGGAGTGTTTCAGCAGTGTGTGTGTGTAACTGGAGTGTTTCAGCAGTGTGTGTGTGTGTGTGTGTGTAACTGGAGTATTTCAGCAGTGTGTGTGTGTGTAACTGGAGGTGAATGCGGAGGATCTGAGAGTACCGGAGCGCTGCCGTCCAGAACGCTGCTGAAGAACTGGAGCAGCTGTTGAAGATCCTCCACAGGCTCCGCCGGCACAAAGTACTGCTCGTTTGAGGTGTTGAGGATGATGATGCTAGGCACAGACACCTCGCTGCAGGAGGAAGAGCACCCCGTCAGTCTCAAACAACGGTGTTTATGTCACATGACCTCTGTGCAACCATCAGTAAAACCTCGTCTGAAGATCCAGACGTACTCACCCCATTATGAGGCTGTTGATGTAGTCGTTTCCATCCATGTGGCCGAACTGGAAATCTCTGGAGGACAGAGAGGAGCATAGCATGAGACGCAGGTCTGTAAAGCTCTTCTGATCATTACAGAAACAGCATGAACGAATGGAGCGCTTGATGTTGTTCCCTCTCTCAGCCCTGCTCTCATGTCTACTCTACACTCTCCTATACATAAAAGCCAAAACAGAGCAACTAGTGATTGTCTATTTGGGCCAGAAAACCATGACAAGCTTCCGGTTATTTGTCCATCCAGACTGAAAAAACAAAACAAGAACACAGTATTGGCGATGGGTCACGGCACTAACGGCTCGTGTGGACGATTACGTGACACAACTGAAATATATCTTTGTAAATATAATGCAACTTTTATAGTATGTGTAACTGGAGTGTTTCAGCAGTGTGTATGTGTGTGTGTGTGTGAATGGAGTGTTTCAGCAGTGTGTGTGCGCAACTGGAGTTTTTCAGCAGTGTGTGTGTGCAACTGGAGTGTTTCAGCAGTGTGTGTGTGTGTGTGTGTGTGTGTGTAACTGGAGTGTTTCAGCAGTGTGTGTGTGTGTGTGTGTGTAACTGGAGTATTTCAGCAGTGTGTGTGTGTGTAACTGGAGGTGAATGCGGAGGATCTGAGAGTACCGGAGCGCTGCCGTCCAGAACGCTGCTGAAGAACTGGAGCAGCTGTTGAAGATCCTCCACAGGCTCCGCGGCTCCGCCGTACTGCTCGTTTGAGGTGTTGAGGATGATGATGCTAGGCACAGACACCTCGCTGCAGGAGGAAGAGCACCAGAGCACCCTCAAACAACGGTGTTTATGTCACATGACCTCTGTGCAACCATCAGTAAAACCTCGTCTGAAGATCCAGATGTACTCACCCCATTATGAGGCTGTTGATGTAGTCGTTTCCATCCATGTGGCCGAACTGGAAATCTCTGGAGGACAGAGAGGAGCATAGCATGAGACGCAGGTCTGTAAAGCTCTTCTGATCATTACAGAAACAGCATGAACGAATGGAGCGCTTGATGTTGTTCCCTCTCTCAGCCCTGCTCTCATGTCTACTCTACACTCTCCTATACATAAAAGCCAAAACAGAGCAACTAGTGATTGTCTATTTGGGCCAGAAAACCATGACAAGCTTCCGGTTATTTGTCCATCCAGACTGAAAAAACAAAACAAGAACACAGTATTGGCGATGGGTCACGGCACTAACGGCTCGTGTGGACGATTACGTGACACAACTGAAATATATCTTTGTAAATATAATGCAACTTTTATAACAAATATCCATCTTGAAGTCAAAAACCCTCTGTAAAAATGTTTACTGTCATAATACGTGTGATAATATGATGTGGTGTATATATATGAAGATTTCAGTGTAGATGAATTGCATGAGAGTATGAAGCTGTCTGCATGATTATTTACGTAAATGTTTGTTTTACTATTCATACCACAACACTGTGTGCGTCTTCATAGAAATATTATACTAGGTTTTCTTAAGAGACAAATAAAATTGTCTCTTCACTTTATATGGACAGCAATATATGTAATTATGTCTGGCAACTTGACAATTATGTTTTCAGTGTTACTGGGATATATAAAAGTTAGATTAACATTAATAGTCTATAATCATTTCACATATGTCTTTGTAAACTAATTATATAAAACTGTCAGTGTAACACAGATAACTGCATTCATTTGTTATAGAAGTAATTAAGCATTTTAAACCGATTAAATGAAAACGATTAGATAAATCTTAATAAATTTCTTATCTCAAGGACAACATTAGTATCACAGGCTTTATCTTTCAGCTGAAATGACTGATTGTTTGATATTTACTGTTCGAAATTCTTCTTAGGATCATGTACAGTAGATTTCTATTGTTGGTACTCACATTACTGTGCATGATTAAAATATTACAGTGAAAGTTTGTGCAGTACTTGTGATGCGTTCCACATGTTAAAATATATTACAGCACTGCTCCACATCGCATGCGAGCACACGGGGAAAACATGAGGAATTCATGTGGTTTTTCTGTCAGGGAATCATTTCCTCGGGTAAAAGTCAATAACACGTCATCTCAGGAAACAGTAAACTGCTGTAACCGTACTGTGTGTTGACAGTAGAGGCTCTGAATAAACATGTTCAAGCTGACGAACACCAGCGATCATATCCTGAATACAGTACAGAGAGCCGAGGCTGTCGCGTGGATCTGAATCACAGCGACTCTCACCTGTTGAACTGATCTCGGTGTTCAGCAGCTACTCTCTGGATCAGACCTTTCAACCTGAACGAACACGGATGAGTTAAGCACAGAAGAAAACACTGGCATCCAGCATCACGAGACCACAGAAACCGCATCTCTGTACCTGCTGCTTCGCTCTGTCGAATCTTTCTCATCAGTAACTGCAATCGCCACCAGTTTACCTGAGACACAAAGAAAGGAAAACCGTTTCTTGACCAAGACCGAGACAGAAAAAAGGCTCTTGCTGATCAGCTTTCAATAATTCACATTCATCAGAAATCCAGTCTGAGCTGAGAGCTTGTGTAATGGTCAATGTATGATCATTTCATATGGAAAGCTCAGAAATCTGTGCTGAAGTGCACAACAGAAACCAATTCATAATGGAAAAATAACAATCAGTTATTGGCAGAGCTGTATTACCGGTCTCTCCCAGCTCATACAGCGTGAATCCATCGATCGGCAGGTAGCTCTGGAACCGCTCTCGGTTCACCCAGGACGACAAGCTGCTGTCTTCATACTCTGAAACACAACACGAACCAGCTTACTAACACATCTGTGACTGATGAGGGAGGGGAAATGATGAGAGCATTTACATGTTTGGGTAGAGTATCAGTTTAAGAGCTCAATTTATACATTTTCTATTCATTTTTCAAACTGAACGGAGTAAAAAAAGTTGATTTGTAGCAGGACTGGATTCAAACCTCTTTTAGTTGTAACAGTGTCTCTGCCTACATTACATTCACACTGCTGTTTTCAGAAGCCAGATGATAGTAACAACAATAACAAATATAACAACAACAACAATAATAATCGTCATCATCATCATGAAAATAATAATTATAATAATCTAATATGTAAATGAATAAATACTTAATATACTATACATTTTACTTTACACTAAAGTAGGACAGTTAATGTGATTGTGAGAAAACAGGTTTACAGATGCGTTTCATTACTCAAATCTGGAGAAATACTGTAATCATCTGTCCACAAATATGCTATTAATGCAAATGTGAAAGTAATTCGTGACGGGTGGCTGTTGTTAAACTCTCAGCACATGCGGAGACAGAGATTCACTGCGTTCACTGGGAACTGAAAACACCAGATGATCCTGTGAGCAAAGTGTGCGCTCCGCTCGGAAACACACAGCCTGCATACTTCATTAAATTGCAGCCATTTGTCATTTAATAAAACATAAAACACTAAGCAATGTCGTGCTTTTGATTTCAGTTTGTTTGACAGAATTTCAGCAGTGTGTGTGTGTGTAACTGGAGGTGAATGCGGAGGATCTGAGAGTACCGGAGCGCTGCCGTCCAGAACGCTGCTGAAGAACTGGAGCAGCTGTTGAAGATCCTCCACAGGCTCCGCCGGCACAAAGTACTGCTCGTTTGAGGTGTTGAGGATGATGATGCTAGGCACAGACACCTCGCTGCAGGAGGAAGAGCACCCCGTCAGTCTCAAACAACGGTGTTTATGTCACATGACCTCTGTGCAACCATCAGTAAAACCTCGTCTGAAGATCCAGACGTACTCACCCCATTATGAGGCTGTTGATGTAGTCGTTTCCATCCATGTGGCCGAACTGGAAATCTCTGGAGGACAGAGAGGAGCATAGCATGAGACGCAGGTCTGTAAAGCTCTTCTGATCATTACAGAAACAGCATGAACGAATGGAGCGCTTGATGTTGTTCCCTCTCTCAGCCCTGCTCTCATGTCTACTCTACACTCTCCTATACATAAAAGCCAAAACAGAGCAACTAGTGATTGTCTATTTGGGCCAGAAAACCATGACAAGCTTCCGGTTATTTGTCCATCCAGACTGAAAAAACAAAACAAGAACACAGTATTGGCGATGGGTCACGGCACTAACGGCTCGTGTGGACGATTACGTGACACAACTGAAATATATCTTTGTAAATATAATGCAACTTTTATAACAAATATCCATCTTGAAGTCAAAAACCCTCTGTAAAAATGTTTACTGTCATAATACGTGTGATAATATGATGTGGTGTATATATATGAAGATTTCAGTGTAGATGAATTGCATGAGAGTATGAAGCTGTCTGCATGATTATTTACGTAAATGTTTGTTTTACTATTCATACCACAACACTGTGTGCGTCTTCATAGAAATATTATACTAGGTTTTCTTAAGAGACAAATAAAATTGTCTCTTCACTTTATATGGACAGCAATATATGTAATTATGTCTGGCAACTTGACAATTATGTTTTCAGTGTTACTGGGATATATAAAAGTTAGATTAACATTAATAGTCTATAATCATTTCACATATGTCTTTGTAAACTAATTATATAAAACTGTCAGTGTAACACAGATAACTGCATTCATTTGTTATAGAAGTAATTAAGCATTTTAAACCGATTAAATGAAAACGATTAGATAAATCTTAATAAATTTCTTATCTCAAGGACAACATTAGTATCACAGGCTTTATCTTTCAGCTGAAATGACTGATTGTTTGATATTTACTGTTCGAAATTCTTCTTAGGATCATGTACAGTAGATTTCTATTGTTGGTACTCACATTACTGTGCATGATTAAAATATTACAGTGAAAGTTTGTGCAGTACTTGTGATGCGTTCCACATGTTAAAATATATTACAGCACTGCTCCACATCGCATGCGAGCACACGGGGAAAACATGAGGAATTCATGTGGTTTTTCTGTCAGGGAATCATTTCCTCGGGTAAAAGTCAATAACACGTCATCTCAGGAAACAGTAAACTGCTGTAAACCGTACTGTGTGTTGACAGTAGAGGCTCTGAATAAACATGTTCAAGCTGACGAACACCAGCGATCATATCCTGAATACAGTACAGAGAGCCGAGGCTGTCGCGTGGATCTGAATCACAGCGACTCTCACCTGTTGAACTGATCTCGGTGTTCAGCAGCTACTCTCTGGATCAGACCTTTCAACCTGAACGAACACGGATGAGTTAAGCACAGAAGAAAACACTGGCATCCAGCATCACGAGACCACAGAAACCGCATCTCTGTACCTGCTGCTTCGCTCTGTCGAATCTTTCTCATCAGTAACTGCAATCGCCACCAGTTTACCTGAGACACAAAGAAAGGAAAACCGTTTCTTGACCAAGACCGAGACAGAAAAAAGGCTCTTGCTGATCAGCTTTCAATAATTCACATTCATCAGAAATCCAGTCTGAGCTGAGAGCTTGTGTAATGGTCAATGTATGATCATTTCATATGGAAAGCTCAGAAATCTGTGCTGAAGTGCACAACAGAAACCAATTCATAATGGAAAAATAACAATCAGTTATTGGCAGAGCTGTATTACCGGTCTCTCCCAGCTCATACAGCGTGAATCCATCGATCGGCAGGTAGCTCTGGAACCGCTCTCGGTTCACCCAGGACGACAAGCTGCTGTCTTCATACTCTGAAACACAACACGAACCAGCTTACTAACACATCTGTGACTGATGAGGGAGGGGAAATGATGAGAGCATTTACATGTTTGGGTAGAGTATCAGTTTAAGAGCTCAATTTATACATTTTCTATTCATTTTTCAAACTGAACGGAGTAAAAAAAGTTGATTTGTAGCAGGACTGGATTCAAACCTCTTTTAGTTGTAACAGTGTCTCTGCCTACATTACATTCACACTGCTGTTTTCAGAAGCCAGATGATAGTAACAACAATAACAAATATAACAACAACAACAATAATAATCGTCATCATCATCATGAAAATAATAATTATAATAATCTAATATGTAAATGAATAAATACTTAATATACTATACATTTTACTTTACACTAAAGTAGGACAGTTAATGTGATTGTGAGAAAACAGGTTTACAGATGCGTTTCATTACTCAAATCTGGAGAAATACTGTAATCATCTGTCCACAAATATGCTATTAATGCAAATGTGAAAGTAATGCGTGACGGGTGGCTGTTGTTAAACTCTCAGCACATGCGGAGACAGAGATTCACTGCGTTCACTGGGAACTGAAAACACCAGATGATCCTGTGAGCAAAGTGTGCGCTCCGCTCGGAAACACACAGCCTGCATACTTCATTAAATTGCAGCCATTTGTCATTTAATAAAACATAAAACACTAAGCAATGTCGTGCTTTTGATTTCAGTTTGTTTGACAGAGGCTTCACAAAAGTAGTAGCGCAAAACAACCTCAAACATATTTCATGTTTTCTGAAAAGTGTCTTGGGTTCATTATGAAACTGATAATCAGATAATTCAATGCTCAAGCATTGTACAAACACGTATTAGATGCTGATAAACTGTTTTCTTCACGTACCATCGTATGTGAAATAGGTTCCATCTTTGAAGACGACCACTGAAGGCAATTCATGCAAAGGTACAGACTGCAGCAGAACAACACAGTTTAGTGAGATTTCATGCGATTGTTTAAAACAGCAGACTGGATAAATGAAAGCACAAGCAGCAGAATCTGAAGATGATTGACCTCACCTCTGGTAAGACGTCTTCAGACGCAGAGAAGAAATAGGTGTACACAATGAGCTCAGACGCCACCTCTGTGTACTTCTCCTGAAATCACACAAGAGCAACATTTCTGTATGTCCACTGGGGCTTCATGAGGAACTGCAGGGTTTGGTGAGTTCATGGAAAGCTAATAATTAATCATACAAATGTAAATGTAAATAGAATTTGTGTTATGGCTTGGTGTGTTTGAGTCTGATGAGCTGCATGTTTGACTGTGTTCACTTCAATGCTGCTACACATCATCCATCTGCAGGAGTTTGAGTCACTCATAACGGCCACACAGAGTCCAAATACTGTGCATACTTGTGTTAATAAATGTGCAAAATTAGCACAAATCACATTTGCTTTGCCACCATGAAGTACAAAATCTATCAAATTAGCATAAGGCAGCAAGATAAAATGTGAGATAAGTGAAGGGTCCTGTTGGGGTATGGGCAAGTTTGCTTTGGTGCTTTCAAATATCAACATTGTTTGGCAAAAATAGCTTAGTGCACCTTTAACACAGATTCACTCTCTTAACTTTAGTTTAGTGTAGCTATGAAGACAGATTGAGCAGCTCACTTTCAGAGGAGACTCGCCTCCGACATACAGAAACAACACGCTGTGCCTCTTCAAGACGTGCTCAAACATCTGTCTGCTGGGCAGCGACCGCACGGCTGGCCTGAAACACACACACACACACAGACACACACAGACACAGACACAATCATTAGAAAATGACTCTGGTGGATTTATCAGGTTTATCCAGCTCTGCACTTTCCTAACCCAGCAGAGTTCAGCTTTAACTTGCTCCAACACACTCGCTGTGTCTCAATTCACCAACTTACACTACTAAAACCTTTGTGAAGATAAAGCATGTCGTTTTGAGTATGTGAGCAGAAGAGCAGGGAAGCTTTGGGACAAACTATCACATCATAAAAGTGCTGTGAAACCCTGCGGGTATCTGTGGGTTACTCATCCGATCATGCTGTGGCGTGGAGCACTCTCAATCCACTCTCAGACACGGTTTAGGGAGGAGAGCATGTGGATTGGGACGCAGGGACTTATCTAGCAATCCTGATGCCCTTGACCAGCTGTTCGAGGTGCTTATTTAGGGATCTGCACACAGTTACACATGCATTTTCTTTCACAATGGTTTACATTCACTTAAGAAATAACCGACTGTTTACGATGAAATTCTAACATATTTTTGTGTGTATTTGTCCTTTCAAATGCAAAAAGACATGGACAAGACAAGAGGACTCAGTTCAGCATCACACTATTCAGTATGAGAGGAGGCTTTCTGTGCAGCAGAGACAACAGTCTTCATGTGCTTGAATGGTTTAAAGTCATATTAAAATGCGCACAAAGGAATTGATAAGAGGAATCGAAATTTAAATTTTTATATCAAGTATACTTCCTGACCATAAATATCCGATTCCTGAATTGGAATCTATTTTTGTTTCCCAAGCTACAAGTTAACGTTAAATAAAATGCTCTTTTTTCGTTCCACCAAAAATGTGCCTGGAGTCCACCGTTGCTTCATACGAAGTTCACTTTACCATTCAACTGAACTGTGTGTGTGTATTTGTCCTTTCAAATGCAAAAAGACATGGACAAGACAAGAGGACTCAGTTCAGCATCACACACTATTCAGTATGAGAGGAGGCTTTCTGTGCAGCAGAGACAACAGTCTTCATGTGCTTGAATGGTTTAAAGTCATATTAAAATGCGCACAAAGGAATTGATAAGAGGAATCGAAATTTAAATTTTTATATCAAGTATACTTCCTGACCATAAATATCCGATTCCTGAATTGGAATCTATTTTTGTTTCCCAAGCTACAAGTTAACGTTAAATAAAATGCTCTTTTTTCGTTCCACCAAAAATGTGCCTGGAGTCCACCGTTGCTTCATACGAAGTTCACTTTACCATTCAACTGAACTGTGTGCATGCATTTTAGACACATTGTTCTTGCTCGTCCATGCAATAACTGTGTCCTACTATCAGTTTTCTATTTACTTGAACTGCTCTGGTAATATCAATGGTGACCCATTTCAGGAGCTGTCGAAATTACAAGTTAATGATACGGACTCAAAACGCCAGCGCCGGTGACTGACAGTCAAAGCAAACCACGGTTTGAAAGCCCCGCCCCCAGCTGAACTGGACGTTTTGATTGGTTTTGCTCAGAGTCAGACCGGTCTGTTATTGGCTGAAGCGCAGCGCCCGTCAAACCCTCACCCGGTTTCTCCATCAGCACCTTTGTCTTTTTTGTACTTTTGGTGAAAAATAAATGTAGTGAAGTTGAATACTTTATTTTTATTCAACTCAAGCAAAAGTACCACAATTTAATTATACTCAAGAAAGTAGAAAAAATTACAAAATTTATTCAAGTACTGTAACGAAAGTATTAGTAATTAGTTACTTTCCACCTCTGCAAGAGTTTTAATAAAATGTTAACTTTAAAGTAGTTAAGTGTGTGTATTAACTACAATCATTTTGTTTAATATGATCAAGACCCGTTATGGAGGGGAGACTGCTGCACAAACATGTCACGCGTGGCTTATAACCACAGATAAAATTACATCCAATAGCTTTTAAAGCCTTAACAAGGTTTGGAGAAAAAAACCCATTAAGGTTTAACATGCAGAAATGTAGCTACAGGTTCTCACCCAGACACTCTGTTGGCAAACTCGATTACGTCATCTTTGGTTCTTGGTCCCTTGTAATTATATGCCAGCTCCCCCTTCAGCCTGAGAGAGAGAAACACACCTTTATTTAATCAACAATAAAAACTGCAGAACTGAATCACTGCCTCAGAGCATCAGCAGCAGCATGTCTTACACCGTAAGAATGCATGACGCGAGTCAAAGAACCACGACACACGAAACACATCTAAATCATGTAATTCACACCTACAGTGGAATAACTAGCCCCTGATAAACGGCTGCTTTCGGAGTCATGTCAGATCTTTCACAGCTGTAATGTAGTATTGAAAGCAAGAAAACTCATGTGACAAACATACAGAAACACCTAACCCTGATCCTGAATGTGCACATGCTTTAACAGGAAGACGTGTTACTCAAACTCTTACTGAAACAGTTATTACAGTATAATCCGGTCATCATTTAAGAGATTTGTTTTTGTTTTTTGTATTAATGAATTCAGATTAATAAATGCCAGATGTTTTGATAGACCACATTGGACTGAGACTATTCAAAAGTTGTGAAAGTGCATATGCATACATTAATTAATTGAATTAGTTATATTATTGCTTCGATTGGTGCTGGGGTTGAATTAATATCTGTCAATCATAAACTCCATACTGAGAGGCAAATGGCTGAAAAACACATTAACAAAGAAATATTGCCTATTTCCCAAGTGTTCCTATTATTCTGACCAAACTCTGTATGTATACAGTATATGTAATTGTATGATCTGTAAATACTATAGATGATTAACCCTCTACGGTCATGTAAATGATGCAATAATTCCTAAGATATCTCCCAGCAACCGGTGTTGTGAAGCAGCCAAACAGCAGCATTTACTACGGTAACAGAAGTACACAAGCCTATCCCAGCGTCCTCCAGAGAGAGGAGTCGAGGACTGATCCAGCCCTGCTTCACCCCGACGGATCGGAGCTCTGCTTCTGCCTTCAGCTGCTGACTGACCGATATCAGCTCAACCCCAGCGGGACACTCAAACTGATGAAACGCATACATACAATTATTACAAACATATTCGCTTGCACAGTTTCTCAGGAGAGGGACTCTGTCCTTCGTTAGGTGAAGCATTAGCCTCATGGGTAATATCATCAACACCTCCGTCCCCTGCCTCCTGCGTCTAGAGAAACACAGAGCGCCACACAACACTCACGCAACCCACCGCGCTCTTCAGTAATGATGCTCATTATATAACCGCAATCAATCACAGAATGAGCCGTATTTCACAACAGTTCTGAGGGTTTGGTGAAAAACAAACCAAAATCAGTCAGCAGTAGTCCGCTGTTCTATGTTCTGTTTTATTTTACTTTTTTTATTAACAAAGCTTTTCAAAAGTGCATGGATCTTTAACAGGTTAAAAGTGGGCTAAATTCAGTTTATAGAAAAGATCTCTTTTAGTGATGTTTCCTTGCAGTTTCTTTGTTTTCTGCAGTTAAGGATTTAAAAGTAGACAACCAGTGCAAATCCATTTGTGCTTCACGTCAGACCTGCTGCAGATTTGAGACTAACCAGAATTATTGTTTAGGCACCGCACGATTAGCTGGTTTTAGATCTGCACACCTGTAGTAGGGATGGTGAAGCGCTGCAGAAAGACTTACAGTTTAATGGTGGGATATCCTCGCACGCCGAACTCTGACGCCACACCTGCGTCACACACATGAACACAATCACAAGACATGGACACCATCAGGAAGATGTGAATATCAGCAGCAGAGAGATCTGGAAACCATGACATACTGTGCTTGGATCTGAATCATGTGTGTTACTGTAACTGAGCCCAGTCTAGTGTATCATCAGCCTGTCATTATCATGTATTTACTGTGATCACAGTTTAATAAAAACATAAATTAAGTTAAAACATATATTAAAGTTACTAATTATAATGCTTTCTTTTCCACAGTTATTTAAACAGTGAATAAATAACATACAGAAAACACCATCACTGACTTCAGTCTAGCGCGAGTTTAGCTCTCTCTAACAAACACTTGTTATAACTAATGACACAGCGTTAAGAGACGTGCAAGAGAGTCGAATTCAGCCACTCAACTAAGCTCCAGCATTTTAAGTCCGTGTTTAATGGTGCTTTTGATTTTGTTTTATTGACAATTTTAGTAATAATAATTATTATTTGTTATTGTATTGCTATGAGCGTTATTATTGTCATTAAAATGTTTCGTGCTATGGAAACAGCAACAGTATACGAATGATGCGTCTCTTTTATAACACCTTTGATGTGGATGTAGCTTTGCTCTTAAACACGGGTAAAAACATGTAAACTGCATGTGAACCACACAGGCAAAGGATTCAGACCCACAAACAATGTCATCAATCATCTGAGTGTTACTGCTCAAAGAAACAATTCACTCACATCCTAAAGCGTTTGCTTATCACTTGACTTTTGTCATTAGTTTTATTTGTAATCTTCCATTAATTACAACATACTTAATTTAGGTTTAATATAATTATTTCAAACACAGTATGTTTGATTGCTTCATAAAGACAGATAAGAGACTGCACAGAGGCCTTGTATAACGGAGATTTGACTCTGATTAATAAAGTCGATCGCTTCACCTGAGTATGCCGTGCCGTCCATCTTTCCGACTCGGACCGGCGACCCCGAGCGCGTCAGCTCCGCTCCCACCTCCTGCCAGATCGGCTCCAGCTTCTTACAGTATCCACACCACGGAGCATAGAACTACAGCACAGCATGAAGACCAGTCACACACACACTCTCTCTCACACTCACACACTACCACACACTCACTCTCACACTCACACTCACACTCACACTCACACTCACACTCACACTCACACTCACTCTCACTCTCACTCTCACACTCACACTCACACTCACACTCACACTCACACTCACACTCACACTCACACTCACACTCACACTCACACTCACACTCACACTCACACTCACACTCACACTCACTCTCACACGCACTCTCACACTCACTCTCACACTCACACTCACACTCACTCTCAC